AGACGTCACGAGTGTATTGGCTGGTTTATTTGTGACGAGTTCCAGATGAAACTTTATTTTCTTCTATGCGTAAAAACGATGTATAGCCCTATAAACAAATATAAAGTACTTTTACAATCTTTGTTATTACATAATCAAAATATGTAAATCATCTGCCAGTTGCGTGAACGAACATAAAAAATACGATCTTTTCCGTCTATTTCCGTACTGTAAAGGCAAGATAAACCATCCCTATATCCTTTCACCCAAAAAAACCAGTATGCAGCCATGAAAAACATTTTCTCACGGAGAAAAGAAGTATACCCCTGACTTACACCGATGTAAACCTCAATTTTCACTGGTAAGCTCTTCGTATGTTTATATATGGCTGATTCCCTGTTGAATTGAATGTTTCAACGATTTTTTTAGTTTTTGCTTGTCGAAAAATTCTCCATTGATTATCAATATTTTGGGGGTACTGCTTGATAATGTGAGGGAGCTTTTAGTTTTTTAAATTTAGCAATTTTTTAACCATTCTTGACATGACCAACGATATGCTTATTGTATCATAAAAAAAATTGGACCATTCGATTTGACAGAGAATCTACCATGTGTACATATGGTTCGTAGGTGTATATAAGACACATATGAAGCCTCGCTCGGCACGGAATAAACTTTTATCCGCGTCGGGGTGCGCCGCATGTTTTTATGATAATAGCATCGTGGTCAGAATAGACATTTCTTTTACGTAGCCAACGATCATTGAGTCTCACGATTATCATCACGATAAATCGTGTATTACGAGAACTGCAGCAGAAGAAGAGTCTCTTTTGAAGAACACCACTTATTGAATTTATGTGTGTTGTGTTGCGTGCAATATGTTAAACGAAATCAGGAAACGAAACATTTTCGTAAATCGAATAAAAGTTTGATGTCTATTCATCCTTTTATTTCCTCGAGGAACCACGATTAATTTTTCTACTAGCTTAACCTGCGTGTGGAGCTTTTATTACTTTACATAGTGAGTATAGTTTTTCGCAACTTGTATTCGATTTTACCATGCGGGATAAAATGAAATTTTCCATCTGGGCAGCCGCTGTAGTTCAGTCAATCAACAGTCAGTTAGATCGCTGCAAGTGAGAGCCGAGAGCATTTAACGAGTCGAATAACGGCAGGCCGATATCGAGACACGTCTAACGCATCTCGTTTTTAGTTTAGTAAGTCCAGGTGTAACTCACTCGTTGCATTCGTATAGTTTTATGTTACGTTATGATATTTTGCATCGACCATTTTTATACATTTTATACACTTACCTATTCTCCCATATCAGAATAACATCAATTTATTTATTATTCGCGTTTTTGATAATGTAACTCTTGTAAGCTCGAGTTTAGACAACGCAATAATAAGATTTCTTACGTTTCGCGGTAAATTATTACTGCGAGGACAAAGAAAATAGTGAAAAGCACAAAGTGTAGTGCTTTTGCCATTAAAGTAATGAAAGCTCGAATCGCTATAAAAGGTAAATATTTTCCTGCTGAGAGACAAAGAATGCAAAAGTATAATACAAATAACCATAGCTATTTCCTGTTCCATCCGTCGATGAATCCTGTACGAATTTTTCAATATCTTTAAACATACAGCACCACTCTGTTGGAACATCGAAGAGAAAAAAAAAGATCATCATTTTCGCTTGTACGAGCTTGCTCTGCGGGAGGATTGTTTCAAGCTGTTACTATTGCCATTGTTTCGCGCGGAAAGCCATAACATTGAGCGTCGGGCAAAATAAGCATCGAAAGAAGCGACGATGAGTTTTGAGGTGGACGAGATATTTTTTCAACTCTGAGCTTTCGCTTGAGAATAATCCAACTCGTGGAATGCATCCAAATGTATATTTGCACTCTCGTAATCCAGCAACGAGTTGTACGCTACGTAAACTTCATACGTATAAACATATGCACACACACAGGCTGTATATTTTGCTTTTACCAGTTATTGTTACATTATTTTTAAAAATTGAACGATGATCCATGGTGGATGAAAAAAACTCATATTGTGTATACTCTTTATAATTTCTGAATTATTATATAAGAATTCAAACAGATATCTATAGTTTTGAATAATAGAATTGTCGATGAAATCGCAATTAAAACAATTTTTCATGAAACTTTTCTGCATTATACTTTTTGTTGAAATATTTAATAAATGAAACATAATTTCTATATTATATAGAAAATAACAATTTGAGCTTACTTAAGAATACATCGAAATTATACCCAAAATCTAGTCACTATGCTTTACTCAATTTTGGAGAATGATCCCTTCTTCTATGTGTCTACTGATCTCCCCCTTGGCTGAAAAGTATCTATGGAGCATACTTTCATTTCATGCATTTGGTAAGGCACTCATATACAAACCCAGTTTACATATAATACCCGTGTTGTATTCGTTTCAATATCCGTTTGTCGCTACGTAGAGAGTAAGGAAGAGAGAGAGAGAGAGAGAGAGAGAGAGAGAGAAATCGTTGAGTCTTGTAGGGGTTATTAGATTTGTGCACGCAGACAACGTAAAGTTTAGTATTTTTTCAATCTTGATTTGGCAAGATCCACGTGAATTAAAACTTAAACAGTCTTAGCATCAAGAAAATAAATTACTAAAACCATTGTATCGAACCGAGAATATTCAATTTTCAATACTTAAGATTGTTTTTAATAAAGTTTGTAAGTATCCTCTTTAAAATTCTTATAAATAAACACTGAAAAATGTTTTCATAATTTACAAGTACTTTTCTTAACGAATAATTCTTCGTTGTAATACCTTACTAAAACTTCGTGTACCATCTATTCTATTAATGTACTCAGTAGATCTGCAAAGTACGATTGGATTACGGGGCCTTCTTCTTAAACAAAGATTTCCACTGCATTGTAGAATTAATTTATCGCTCGTGTTCAATATCGCATTAAACGTAACGTGGAATAATATGGCATTATAAAACATGCAAAGTAAGAGAGCCTCTCGTGCCTTGTATAGTGATCCTCGCATGAACTTTCCGCCTCTTTTCTTTTCTACTCTTTCTTTCTTCTACTTTCTCTGCGCCGTCTCTTTCGATATCCGTGTACTCGCTAGCCTTTATCTATCAATTGAATATTTCACGAGGGTATTTTAATTTCAAAGCGCCACTACTGTTTGAACACCTTGTGCAATACTAGAAGAGCTAGCTTATCACATTTTATGTTATATTCGCGTATAATTCGTAGATTCGATTAAAATCAGATTAAAAATAACATTTTATTCGAAACTTATAATTAAAAAAAACTAATTCTTGTTCAAAAAATGAAGTTCAGAATTCATCAAATATAAATGACTGATACTTTTAGATGTTGATGTATAGTTATTTTATGTTTTATCAAATCATTATGTACATATTCAAAAATTTAAGCAGTACCTGAGTATACGATGAATGATGTACTAAACACATTTTTCTTTTTTAAGCTTACTGAATATTGGATTAAATGCAAATAAGACAAATAAGAAAATGTGGGTAGTTAAGCATACAAATAAAAAATAGTTCAATTTTAAATAAGGTAGATACAGTGGTAGGCTGAAAATGTTCGTCGCAATTCAAGATTTTAAACTTTTTAGTTATCCCTGTTCAAACTGTTAAAAGATTAAATAAAAAAAAAATTTTTTTAAATAAAACAAATGTACCAATGACATGCGTCAGCGTCCCTTGAAAAGAAAAAATCATATGGACCTGAAAACTGGACACTACGAATTTCTTTTAAAAGTAACGAGCAAAGGAGAAAAAAGCCAACAAGTATCGATATATTCCATATACATGTAGCTGCAAACGACGGCAGTGCAGTATCGTGAACCGAATTCCAAGTAGACCTTGGCACGGTGAATATAGGCCACGAATGCGTTCTTATTTCACAACCTCTTCTAGAAATATAAGACAGAAAGAGAGAAAGTGTAAGCTAACATTACTTTTTTGCGACGTTCAACTTCGTTTCTGGAGAGAAGATTTTCGACGAAGAACAGAAAAAGCAATAATTCCTTTTTCTGTTTGTGAAAAAGTGGTTACCAGGTTATTATTATTATTTCTAAATTGATTTGCAGCAAGTTTTACATTTAAAATACTCAAAATAATCATAAGTATTAGAGGAAATAAATCAAATTTGAACCAAATGATTCAGTGATCACCGGCCTCTGTTACTTATGATGACAAGTGCTCCAGAGGTAGCCGTTGCGTAACCTTACCTTTAATCTCGTTTCTAAACTAATATTAGTATTGATATATTAAGTAGGTTCGGGGGGTCTGAGTGGAAAGGGGAAGGGGAAGTGTCGGATCAGAAAAAGTGTCGCCCTGACGCAAACTTTCATTTACCGCATACGCAATTCGAAGGGAATTAATTAAAGATTTTGGGATTGATATAGAACTAAAAAAAGTAAAAACTAATAGCGAGGAAGCGTAAAAAATAATTTTTTGGTTGGTTTTTTCAGTGAGAACGTATTCTTATTACCAATCACTTTTCTTTCAGCAGAAATAATTGGTCTTCATTATTTTGCTCAGTTACTATAAGAGCAAATTATAAATGATTCCTGGTGTTGGAAAAGTTAAGAAAAATTAAAAAAATAAAAGTTTTTCGAGCTTTATCATTGCGCAATCGTCGATAAAAGTAATTTAATACGACAAGGTTTAACATTCTTTTTTTAAGATATTGATATGATGATATTGGCACATACACACAGGTAGTTGCAGAAAATTCCATTTAATTTACAAACCTGCCAACCAAATTGCTTTACGGAATCTGGTTTAAAAATTTATTGTCGAGCATATCACAGAGCTTACTCAATGAGGAAGTAATAATTCGACAACAAATATCAACTATCATGTATGCTAATTATTTCGTTAGTGAATCACTTGAATAATTTTACGTGTATTGAGTTTTTTATGTGTTGTTATGTACATATAACGAAGATGAAAAATAAGCAGAAGCTCAATGTCGTTTTGGCGAGAAACGAGTTAAGAGCAGCACATATAATATCAACAACGATGTCGATACTCGTGACGTTTTTAGCGATCATTGCTATTCTGAATGGTACAATCTTACTCGGTTTAGTTTCACCCGCGAGTGCCTATAGAAGTTTATCTTTGGAACGCGACATTGGTGAAAATTACCTAGTGTTCAGTGATGGTGCCTTCGAAAATACCACCGTCTATTACGGTGTGTGCGGCAGGGCCACGGAGCAGACGGAGAAAGAATGTATTGTGCGCCGAGTGCAGGCGAATTTCTCGGGAGGCTACCCGAAGGAGGACGAGTGCAACATTGCGCTGCGCTCCGAGTCTGGCGGCTTCATCAGAAGAGATGAAATTAAAATCGATACGCTTGGCAAAGATCGAGCGATCGTGCGTTGGTACGAGACGCCCGGCCACTTTGGCGAGAAGTATAATCATTTGCGATTTACCATCGTCGATTTTTCTAATTGCAAAGTCAAAACTACCGAACTTTCAAAAGATCTCAATCAGCTGATCAAAAAAGAGCATTCGCCATGGAATAAGGGCACAAATTGGCAATTTTCTGGCTATCTGTATGATGATTTCAACAAACCGGTCTATCTCAAAGGAGAAGATGATTTCGAAGTTGTATCATTTGACCTTATGGACGTTAAAAAAACAACAGTCGACTCTGAAGGAGTTGCTTCGAAGGTCGATACGTGGCTCCCTTATCCGACTGAACCGGGTTACGAGCCACTTATCTTATCATTGTCAAAGGACAAGGGATATTTGTTATTCGAAATTCCACCTCGCAATTGGCCGGAAAACCATACGCTTACTGTAGCTCTCATTCAGCCAAATGGTAATTGATAAAATATTTTTTAATTCTCGTAAATTAATTTAATATTAATGAGAAACGTTTCACGTCTTTAGGTCAAAGACAAAATTTAACTCATATCGAATGCACGTTCGCACCTTTGGTCTCGTTGGCTAACGGATTGATCGGCATATGTGCTCCACAGAACTTTACAATGATGAAATGCACGCAATTCAAGCTCGGTGACGAAGAGATCAACTGGTTTTCAGTCAGTATCATCTTGGATTCTTCTGGTCAGAAACGAGCTATCTACAATTTGCCGGAAGGTGAAGGATTTCTGACTCACTTCTCCAACAACTTCGGACAAACAGACGTCTTCATAGGCGACAAGTACCTGCTGAAAATCGGTCTAGATGGAAAAACCAAGCAATTCCTGGATCCTGATATGAGGTGCAAGAATGAGCCCGTGGAGGCCGGTTTCAATAAAATTTTCCTAGATGATCAAGGCAATTATTGCGTAAGCACTACCTGCGTGAGAGTTTTATACCCTAATTATGACTTCGAATCGAGTTACGTGAAATTGCACACAAAGTGCTTCGAACCGGACGATTTTAAAAATGTTTCAAAATACGAGATAATTAGCGATGAATTTTTGAACAAGCTAGTACTCGAATGATAATTGTCAATTACCCTTATGTTGAAGCATTTGTATGTGGTACATTTTTTTTTGATAGATCTATTATTCAATGTAAAAACAATTTTTAATTCGTACGTATGTCTTTTAATATTCTTGACTTTCTACTGAATTTAGTTAGTATCTCGAAATAAATACAAATAAAGGGCATAGACAAATAAAAAATTCCGATAAATATATAATGGTTATGTACTTGATTTCAAAATCCGATCAGTACTTTAAAAAATACTGGGCCTAGCTCGTACTTAAGCAATAGAATGCTCCAGTATAAAAGGTTTGTGTTTGGTATAATTATTGGATTTTATTTTTCTGGATAATAATTTTGGATTTCCATTAATTCTATCTTTTTTTCTGCCTATAAGCGCGTACTAAGACGATAAGACCCTGCCTTGGTCAGTACTCGGTCAGTGACACATTATTACCTGTATCTATGTATAAACATTATAAATATATAATTGAACACGGTCGGCATCTACTCAGATGTAAAAACATGTATATATTCCTGTCGATTGTTTATTTTTCTTGAGATTCATATCTTCTCAGTGCCTTATAAACGATATTATACTTCGCAACCCCTGCTGCGCCGTAAAAGCATCGCGTCGTACACGCAGATTTTTTTTATTGTTTTCTTTGTTTGGTTTTTTTATTCTACATCGCGCAAAACTGTAACGGGTGCGCGGGATTTTTCGGGTATTATTATTATCCCCGTATGCGAAACGTGTGCTGCTGTCCTGTGGTGCGTTTTATCGCAGCTTATGCGCCCCATACTCCGTAAGGGTTTTTAAATTCAGATGATGATCTGCGCGGCATCTTATTTGTTCGTTTCAATTGCAGGCCACGTGCGCTGTGTCGGTATCTTTTCTTCTTATGTCGGTACCGTGTGCGACTGTTTCGTACAATATATGTGCACGAGTGTTTGCTGCTGATTGATTTACGCAAAGACTTTTGATCGCAGAGCTTAGAGAAGTATGTGATTTTGTCAGGTCATATGGAAAATTAGTTTACCATTCGTATGATTAGTCGCTATTTCAAAGCCATATAAAAACGTCTATGATTATTTAATGAAAACACTGCGAATTCATTGTCAAGTAGCTTTTTTCTGAACATTGTATCATTTCTTCAAAGCTATTCTTTGCAAACAAATTAATTTAAAATTCATATTCTTTGATTTCTCAAATTCAAAGTTACATCGAGCTCTTCTCACTATATACTCGAGTTCTTGATATGACACGTACAATGAATGAGTGATAATAATAAAATAATCCGTGCATCGGTTTCATCAAAGAGGTAATAAAAATCTTTGCGCAAAGCGTGAGTTATCATATCATGGGTTTAGAAATACGGGATAACTTCTGCAAATTTACGAAAAATTTCTAATATCACCCCACAGAATTTCGAAATGGTAATTTATAGGGTAAATCTTTTAGACGCACTCTCTCATACTCTTGTTTAGATAAAAAATTGTTCAATTTTCGCCGTATTAACCGGTGCTGATTCTTGGTATTAAGCTCATTTTTCCATCAGTGTATTAGCGTATTGTGCAGAAGTGACGCCCTAGAACCACTTTTGCTTTTGTCATTGTCCAACGCACATACACGCCTATAAGTGCATGTGCATACGAGAAGAAAAAGGAAATGGCACGCGCTTATTTTATAAGCATAATACATCGTACATCGAGAGTCGCGTGCTGCATCTCACGCGCAAGGGGTTCGCGTATGTATATAATATGCAAGTTTAATCTTTCGGAAGTAATAGGTGCGTAGCGAGAAAGAGCAAGGAGACTATTATGGCATGCACGCGAGTACATGCTACTCGTAGATTATAAGCCAGCTGAATAATGCATCGTGGGGAGCTTCGCTACATTTCGTATGTAGGTTCTCTCTATATGTATCCCTGATTTTCGGATTTCACTTTCCTCGGTTCCGATGTGCTGGAGAATAAAGTGTTTGAGTATTTAGTACAGAGCTATGTATCATATTATACGGCTGATACGCGCCCTAGTGATAAATGTGCAAATAATGAAGGGATTTTTTTCGTTTAGATGTAGAGCTCACTGACCAATGGTCACAGACTGCTCAAATTCTCATTGTACCGGACGCGGTATGAATTTGAACTAGTTCATGACTGCCCATGTATAATGTTTGATAAAATCTTTCATTTCATTCGAATTTTTTTTCCAAACTTACTGGAATTCATTAAAAAGTTTTTACACCAAACACGACTAGCTTGATGAAGATTTGACGAGTACGATTGTGATTGAATTTCGCATAAACAAGAAAGTCAGTCACGTTCCTGCGGCTCGATATGACACGATCTTGCACAAACAGCCTACTAGCCGAGCACGAGGAGTCCATTTCTCTATGCAAATGTATTTAGCTGCAGAAGCGGAAGTTCCGTATACGACCGCGCGCCCGATTAGGCCCATCTCTTGGCTCTCGGAGTTACGTCACGCGAAAACCCTAAGCGATGTGCTTCGCCGATCGGAATATAGACGATATCGATTGCGGACTGCTGCGACGGCTGCCACTGCTGTTGCTGCTTCTATCTCGTCGGCGTAGGCCTACTACACCTATTGCTCATGCTTGAATAGCTCCACGTTCGTTTGTAACGATGATGGAACGATGCGATAGACTCGAAGAAAGAAGCGAGATAATTTCTTTTTAACGGCAGCCTTCGTCGCGATCGTAATGCATCGGCATCGATACATCGACGCTTATTATTCATTTTCCTAGCGCAAAGGTATAGCGCAGAGCAAACAATAATATTATTATCGATTTTTAGCGCAATATTCTAATGTTTTTATATCGCTCGTATAGTTAGTTCGCGGCCCGGGGCAATGAATAAACGCAAGAGGCTTTCTTTGTGTATATAAAATCGACAATATTTCAATAGCGATACGCTGTATCATATAATCGCGCGGAAAAATTGAAATAACTTAAATACGTTATTGTATCGACTTTCTCGATAAATTTGCAGTTGCAGACTTTATAAATGTATTTATATCTACGAGGTGACTTGATTGCGAAGCTTTTGCACTTTCCGGCAAATGTAATATATTCGTGGGTACACAACTTCTCGAAACTATGCACGAGCGAAAAGTGAATTAACTATTATCGAATATAAATTGATCGTTAACAGGCTACGCGATATATACGAAATATACGTGGTAACAGAGGCGTACGAGTGCGACTGTAATAATTGCAATGAATTGCCATATCGTGACCGAGGGTACTTACACTAACTCTATTATCATAAAGGTCAAACTAGTATATATGGTGAGTAATGGACTCTAAAGACGCGAACTCTACCTCGATGCAACGGAAAATGAGATCTCGATCGTCAACAATAACGAGCTAGACTTGTTCGCAGATATTACTTTCCGGAAAATATTTTTTTTTTTCATTCCGAAATACTTAATTTGTAGAGAATAATTGATTTGAAAGATAAAACTTTTAATGATAAATATAAAATGATATGGTGTATGGATGATTTCAATTTTTGGAAATAAATTAATATTATTTATGGATTACTTATATTTGATATTTACTCTGTCAACTTTTAATGAATCTGCTATACGGTACATGCGTTTCTTCGTCGCAGTAGCTCTTTTCAAGTTCAAAGGCACTCCATCGTTTCAGGTATAGTCGAATGCGTCGCAGTCGCAGACGTCGTCGTCTCGCGTGCAAAGGAGCATGCAGAAGAAGGATCGATGCGACCCTCGCGGAAGTCTCGTTAAACATGCCTCCGAGCGCGTAAACATACGAACGAATAGTCTGTCTCTCCCTCTGCCGAAGTTGCGGTTATTGCATCTCGATTAAAGATTTACCTCGACCCTGATTTTGCAGTTGCGACCTCTTATTATTTTTCCCTTCTTTTTTTTCTACCTTCCGCGATCGTCGTTAGTACAATGGCGTGGGTCGATACTCGTGCGTCGCGCAGCTGCGACCGATTTTAGAGCTCGAATAAATCGTGATAATTGCTCTTGTAAATGCGTTTATGTGCGCTTATATCGTGGGTATAAGAGCGCAGTGTACGATTGTCGATGTATGTATGCTATATAGCTACCGAGTGGAATTTGCGAATACTTCGATGAAGTTGCAGCGGTTGTTGTTGCTCCATTTCAGTAGACTTGGTTTATACTGAAATTGTTGGTTTGGGTGTAATTTAATAAAAACAAAAATATTATTCACCATTAAAACTTTCAAGAATATTTGCGAAGAATCATCAGTTATAGAAATTTCAAAAATAATTATTGTTTTTATAAATTTGAGCTAAAATAATAAATATTTTTTTAATTTTTTACTGTAAATTTTTTACGTTTTCTATATCTTTTTAAGGATAAAAGATAGAGTATTTACCACTCGATAGTTTATGATGTTAGATAGTACGTATTTAATGGAGAATTAACTTATTTCCTATTATAAATTTATAACCTGATGGTAGCATTATTCATATGCCAATACCTTAGTAGAAATTATCAACATTTTGTGGCTAGTTTTTGGTCAAAGAAAAAGTTTCTGTGTATTTAAAACGACTTTAGGACTGAACATTTACTAACCAAAAGTGTACAATTTTATTCAACATTTGATTGCTATATAATGTTTCAATTTTTTCTGAAGGTCACTTTTTGATTATATGAAATTGAAATAATTTTTAATCGCATTCACGATTCTGCTGTTTTATATACAGACAAACAATTGATTTTTCAATTGTTATATTAATTAATTTATTTTTTTTATTTTACAATTGTTCGATTATATGAAATTTATTATAAATTACCATTTGAAAGTTTTTTTAATATTTATTTGTAATTTTTTACACTTGAAATATAAAATTTGTATGATACTGAATTTCTTCATTTCTTTTAATAACATTACCATTAATACTTCCGCTTATTGTTCTTGTTAGTAATGAATTTTACTACGGCGCATATTACCAACAACGGTATAGATCTACATAAAACTTCATTGAGTTTCTATGAAGCTGAAACCCAATATTTACCATAACGATGATTGAAACCCATGCTTTGACTTATACCATTTTTTTTACTTTGCCACTTCCAGATTGGAAAATAAAGGTACTCGCCATCTAGTGGTGGATGCCTAAACTGGTATTATCGCATTAAAAGTGTTTGAAAATCAGTGTATATTTTAAGTGCTTAATATTTGTAATACAAT